ATCCTCGTAGCCCTGCGCTGGACTCTCTCCAGCAGCTCCACATCCCTCTTGTACTGGGCAGCCCAGACCTGGACGCAGTCTCCAGATGTGGCCTCRCCAGGGCTGGGTATAGGGGGACGATCCGCAGCTTGGTGCGCGGCCCCGTTCCTCGAGAGGAGGCGAAGCAGGCGCACGTGGGCCTGCTCTCGCACTGCCCGTGCTTCAGGGGACAGTTGGTGGCTGGAGCGAGCAGCACCTTCTGTGCAGCTTCATGTGCGTCGTGTAGCCTGTGGAGCTGCGCGTCTCTTAGCCGTGGAGACACCAGACTCCATGCTCCTTCCGTGCCCTTATACAGCAGTGCTCTTCCCGCTCCTGTAGCACTTAATAGCTATAAAATTGTTGGCGTTGGGGGAGGGAGAACAATCTTTTATAYGTCTCCCTGAGTATCCCCTGCACTGGCTAATTGGCACTGTAAGAGGTAGTTCTGCTTTGCGAGGTAGCTGAGCTGGGTCTAAGCTGCTCCAGCAACGCCTGCCTTGCTGCAAGGTCTGCGTGAGACTCGCGTGACAACCCCTGCGGTCGCTCTGGGTGGAGGAAGCCACGTCCTGCCCCCCGGAGATGGGTTCTTCTTAGTGCCCCAGTGCCACCCTGGGCTGAACATAGAGGAGCGGGTCAGGAGCATCAGGGGAGATGAGCGGGGAGCCAGGGCTCCCACTGTGATTTCCTTGGTGGTCGCTCCAGTTGACTTGGTTGAGTAACCTCTTTCACTGTGGGTATACATAGACACACACAGAGATATATATATATATATATAAAAAAATATAAAATATGTGTATATATAATGTACTCATTCTCTGTGTATGCCTATGTACCTTGCCCAGCCATCACTGTGACCCTCTGAGGACAAGCCCCATAATTAGCTTTGTATGAGGGTGCAGCCCCACATCGCAGCTCCTCAGCAGCATCCCCCCCGTCTCTGTGGCCCACGGCCACGTCTCGCCTCGCTTCCTCTTTTACGGCCTGCCCACGTGCCCTCCCATATGGGCAGCGCTCAGATTATTGCAGAAAGTCAAGAGCCACCAAATCTGCCTGGATCGCGTTATGCAATAGTTGAGCTGCTAGCAATGAATAAGCAGATTCATTGAAAGGCAAGTGCTTCTCAAGGGCACCTCTTTTTTTTTCCCCTTCTCCTGCATGCAGACAGAGAAAATTGCTTGGTTGTTGGCTCAGAGCTGGGTCAGGTGCTTGCCCTGTGGGTGGTGATTGATAGCATTGATTTTTCCCAGGTGACTTTTCTCTCAGCGTTAGCTTAAAGAACAATTCCTGGTGCAGAAACAGTTTCCTTGGGTGGAAGAGCAGGGCTGCTTTACGTGATTTAGATCAGCTTATCTCAGTCACTTGGAGGCCTTTGTTTTGTGTATGGGAGGAAAACATTTTAGTACTTTTCTCAAAGTGAAAGGAGAAAATGTCAGGGTGTGCTGAATCACAAGGAGGATGACTTCTGAGATGAAGGAAGAAATGATCCCCCCAAACCGAACAAACCAGTGCTTTCATTTGGAGCAAAATTCGCCCCTTCCGCAAACAAATGCGGCTGCAGGGTGCTCACTGCCRTTGCCAGGGCTGACCTGTGAGTAGCTAAGAGGTCCCAAGAGCTTTGCTTTTTGCATGGTCCCTGGCTGCCGTGTCCGCACGTGGAGCTTGGAGGGGGGGCTCCGTTCATTCTCTTCTCCAGAGCAGAGTCAGAGCTGAGCAGATAAGAAATGTCTGAAAAGTTCTGAAAAACTTAAGTTGTGGCCAACTAACTGTTTCTTCTGGGCTTCAGTTAACTTGGTGAGTTGTCACATTGGTGAACTGAGGAAAATGCGGCTTACGGTGAGAGTTGAGAGGTGGGGAGGAGCTCTGCAGCAGCATGACGGGTGGCTCTTCGGAAAAGGCTGCTCTTGAGATGGAGGGGAGCTTATTAGTGGCAGAAAAAGAGTACAGGTGTGTGTCCTAATCGGGAAAGATGCGCAGTGTACGGAGTAATCAGGAACTTAGAGGAAGATGCTTGGCATTGTCATGGAAGGATCAGCAAAGACATCTGCCCAGCTGGGGCAACTTAAACCCAGGAGGAGAGCTGTTACCTCGTGGGAAGACTGTGCCTAAGGGTGCCGTAGTTTAGGAGCAGAATGCTGCAAAAGCACATCTAGGGCAAAGCAATGAGGAAAGGGGAGAAAAATACTTAGTAGTGGACGCAAAGCCCTGGGAAACTTGAAGTAAGGCTAGGTAACCCGGTGCCCAGCTTGAAGAATGAGCTCGTCTGGGGTCTTCTCCTTGCCGCCTGCTTAGTCCTGCAACAAAGAGCCTTGAAGCCTTCAAAAACAGTTGGAAATACTAGCTTGGACTCTTTCAGAAAGCGCTTGGGTGCTTGAGGAGCAAGATGTCGTGTTCTTTGACAGCYCTTTTCCTGGCGGTTGCATTGGTGCTGTGTTTAGGCGGGCTGTCCTCGAGGGCTCACGCGCCTGCACAAACCGTCTGGGGCTCCTGCCAGCCTTTTGGCATGTGCTGGAGCTGGGCGGTTTTCACCTCTCCTGCCACCAAACTTAGTGGTTGGTGTGTTGTTGTCTCACCTGTTCTTATGTGCAGGGGTCTGAAGTTTGCTGGGTGATGTGCAGGTAGGACGTGAATCAGCCTCTTCCAAGAGCAGTGACTCCTTTGGAAATCTCGTGACGCTTTGTGGTAGCCTCTTGTTGCATCTCCCAAACYGTTGCTGATGTGCTCTTGAATCACCCCATGATCTAAGGCCTCTCTCCACAAGAACTGAAGAATGTCAAACTTCCGTCACAGGGACATTCCTTAGTGAGGACTGTGTTCCTAGGCTGGGTGGAGAATGAAGGAGCCAGTAGTAAGTGAAAGAATTTTCAGCAGATTCCTGTGGTTCTCCAGCTCAGTGAGCAACTGTTCAGCAATGTATTTTGCTGAAATGCCAGCAAAATTGTTCCAGCCGCTGTCTGAACTCTCTCTAATTCCAGTGTGTTAGGAAAAGGATCCTGGAGAGAGGACCTTGGGAATGGCTTGGACAAGACACTGCCACTGCCTGTGATGGTGGTGTTCTCATCCCCCCTTTCTCTTTTGCTCAGCATAATCATGGAGGCTTTGGGTGATTTGGGGGTTTAAACTAGATTTAAAAGTCCTTCTAGGACTAGGACTACTTATTAGGCAGGTGAAACTGTTGAACATGCCGGAAAAGATAAAACTGCTGTAAGGAGTGATGGCTGGCAGTAGAAAGAAGAAAAAGTAGAGGGGAGAAAATGAGGAGTAATTGAATTTTTGAAATGCTAACGGTGTCTGTCCTGTTTTATACATATACATATAAATATGTATGTATGTATAAAACTATATATATATATTTATATATATAAAACTATATATATATATGTATAATTTGATATATAAAAATATTTTAATAATGACATCTGTAGTAAATACAAGCCAGGAAAAACCCTATTCTGCAACATGCAGTATAATGCAGAACAAATGTAAGCTTGGGTTGCTCAAGTGCCTTTAAAAATCTAGTCTCTGGAACTTTCCATTTATAAAAAGGGTGTGTATGTATTTGTGTGTGTGTGTGTATATATACACACACGTCTATATACAAGCACACCCCTTTTWTTAAATGGCGAGTTCCAGAGGCGCTCTCTCTCTCTATATATATATATGTATGTATGTGTGTGTATATATATTTTTTTTTTTCTTTTTGGGTGCTAAATGGTGTCCTAAGAAGTGGCTGTCAGTTGGCATGTGGCTGCGCCCTCGCTTTCCTGCTCTGACAAGACAAAGCCCGTGCACTTTGGGCGCCACACCAGCTTCCAACAGCCACCAAAGCTGCTGCCGTGGGTGGTCAGCGTGAGACCCACTGGGCCCAGGGCACTTGGGCACTCTCGAGAAYGAGGAGCAGGCAAAGAGGAAGACTGTTAATAAAGACAAGTAATGGTTTGACCATTCAAGGTCGGAAATGCCCTTTTGTGAATAGGAGGAGTTGCAGTAATCGTGGAGGGTTCAAAGCAACCACCCTTCCAATCTGCTGCGTCGACACCCTTGTTTCTGTTTGGGACTAGAACTGGAGTACGGGCCGGAGAGGCCTGTTGTATTTTTGTGTCGAGGATTGGTTGACTTTGGCCTCTTACAGCATCAAGTCTTGGGATGCTGCTAAGTGGTGGGGTAGCCTTGGGTTAAGACTGCTGCAGGTTGGATTGACCAAAGMGCCTGATCCGTGAATAACCAGACCGAGAAAGGTTTGTATGAAGCAGAGGACTTGTCTTTGTAGCTGCTTTTTTTAAACTGTTTGCTAAGTTACATGCAGCAGTGCTGCTGCTTGGTCTGCTGAGCTTGAACATGCCCGGGGTGAGATGAGTGATTCCCTTGGGTGCTCAGCCCCACAAAAAACATCCCGCTCTCTCCGTGGAGCTACATAAACCTACTGGAATAAGCAGCAGTGCTGCCAGCGYTCAAGGTATTTTAGCTGCGCCGCAGGAATGATGCTGTACTCATTTGCCTTACAAATGGAGATTTTTGCAAGATCTAATCAAGTTGCTAGATAAAAAAGGCAATGATTGAGAAGAGAGGGTATAAAAAGCTACTAAATGCTGTATCCTAGGAGTGGAATAGTGGGGAGAGGGAGAAAAGCAGCAGTGCAAATGAGAGATGCCAGCAGTGTGCGGYTGAGTAATTTTACTTTGGGGGCAGCACGAGAGCTGTGGGTGAAGCCCACCRGTGTTGAGGGAGCTGACACCAGGGAACAAGCCGTGCAGCTCCAGCTAAAAGCTTTAGCCCATTCCTGRTTTTTCTATTTGAGAAGCTTTGCTGGCTTTCCTGGCTTAAACGTGCCCACTGCGTTTCGGGGGCTGTTACTACAGGTCTTTACTACCTGGGAAGACGTAGCYGCAGCGGTGAGCGACGGGTGTTGCAGAGCAGAAGCGAAGGTTTGGGGGCAGAGGGAATCCAGAGGGATTTATGCTTCCTTTTCCTCTGTTCCTGTGCAGGACACAGGCTGAAATGGCCCACACGTGTCGCGGAACCATCAACCTGTCAACGGCTCATATCGATACGGAGGACTCTTGTAACATTGTGCTTTCCAATGGGGGAAGGACATACCACTTAAAGGCAAGCTCGGAAGTGGAGAGGCAACGCTGGGTCACGGCCCTGGAGCTGGCCAAAGCCAAAGCTATCCGCATGAGGAACAACCAGTCAGGTAGAGTGCCAACTAGCCTGCAAACATGGAACCGGATCCTTTTAAAAAGTCGCTTGTGAATCAGCTCTTCTGTGCTTGCTTAATTGTGCAGAAATTTCAGTAGATGCTATTTCTTATGCAATTAGAAACATTTGATGGTTGCCCCGAGCCACAGAGGGTTTTCAACAATCCCGCGCGCTCCAGAGGTCTTCAGGTTGTGGAGCATTAAGCAAGTGCTTTGAAAGCCCTGGTCACGACGCTAAGTTGCATTTGCAGGGAGTCGATARAAATGAACTTCGGATACTTCTGCTGCAAAGTAGGATGTACGTGACCTTCTCTTGGAGAATCTGAGTGGGCTGGTGTGGAGGGGGCATCCTGCAGGAGATGCTGAGCACTGGTTCACAGCGTGTTGTCAGAGCCTTTCTTGCACGTCATGGTTTGATAGCTCTGTAACATGCAAGCCCTTGATTAACAAAACTTGAATTTACCTCATTTCTCTCTCCTGGTGCATATTTCCTGTTTTGTTTTCCTCCCCCCAACAGACTAAAATGGGATGTTGTATTTATTAGTGTATGTTGGCAAGGGCTGTGTTATGTAAAGCTGTCAAGGCCACGTGAGGCATTAGACAGCTTCTCCTGAGGGTGTCGTTTTTAGTGCTCCTTTATGAAATGAATGGAAGAGGTGCTGAGCAAACAGCAAGTTTTGGAATTCTTGCCATATTCCTAACTCTTCTGAGACTATTATTTGGTTTTGTTCCGCTAATAAGCATGACTTCAAGTCCCTGGAAACAAAAATAGTAAATAAGATATTAAAAAGCCAGCCATCCCCTCTGCCCTAGAATAAAACCCCTCAGAATTTACGTTGGCTGCTGGAAATCAGACATGATACAAGAGGAAAGGTGCAGGGAACATCTGGGCATGGTCGTTATGTTTCTTCTTAAAAACAAAAATGCAACTTCTAAGACACCCAGGACGTTTTATGAACKGCAGTGTGGGATGGTGAGACTGAAAGGTCACAGCAAGACATTTAGGGCAAAACTTTACAGCTTGGGGCCACTTAGGTTCAGTGCTCATGTAGCAGGCAAGAGGACACYGGTCTTCTGGTCCAGGCAGAGGGCTTTGGGGCACTGGTAAATGCTGCTCTGTGGTCTCAGCTGCAGCAGCTGCACATGTGCAAGTGAAGTGTTCCTGAAACGCAGCTTTCGGAATGGCCCGCAGAGGAGGCTGTGTTGGGTCGGYGCATCAGTCAGAGGTGCTGTTTTCCTTGGGGAAGCCGTGCTGCACCTGCACCCCAGCACCCTGCAGCGGTGCCCTGGCGTGGGCGCTCGCGCTGCGCTCCCCCCGAGCAGCGCCCTGGCCTGCGGGCACGGGGATAACGCTGCCAGGTTAGCAGAACAYCCAAAGTTCAAACCAGCGTTTGACCGCCCTTTTGGAAGGCAGTGCTCTAACCGTTTTGCCTCTCTATCCGAGGGACGGTTGCTTCTGGTGCTGGCTGACGGGGGCAGCGATGGCAACTTGTGCTTAGCGTGATGCTTTAGAGGTAGCAGCTCTAGCATAAGCAGTTTGACCTGCTTCCTGAACCATCCCCTAGTCCCTGAGTAATGTGATCTGTTGTGTTTTGTATAATTAGCTGTCCCACTAGGTCATCTAGAAGTTGATTAGTGCATGAGCCACTTAGTCATTTCCCCCAATTATTTAAACACACTGTGCTCTACGGCAGTGTATCCAGATTTAATGATATTGTGTTGTGAACCCTTGATCCTGCAGTTGCAGAGCGCATGCACATACTAATGGGAGCAAAACTAAGTAGAAGATGGCAAATACCTGGGCATGCTTGTTGTGCCCGTGGRCTCTGCCAGCTCACGGGTGCCGTGAACCTCCTGTGGGTGCAGCAGGGCCGGCGTTTGCACGAGCCCTGCCTCCTCCGTAGAGAAAGGCTGAGTCCTTTAGCCAGGTAGGTATTTGAAAAAGATCTTTATACGCAGCAGAAATGAGTTCACGGCTGGGCTTTTTCCTCCATCGTTGCCTTGATGTTCCCCTTTCCTGAACACTGGAGCGTGAAGGTTGTGTAGCGCGTTGGTTATGGGAGGGCACACGGAAAGCAGAGAGCAGGCAGCCTGCTGCCGAGGCGCCGTGCGGGACATAGCTTCGGGAAGCTGTCAGTGAAGCTGCCTCCACCTTTGTGTGCGATCCCTTTGAAGTATTGAACACAGAGGCTTCCTGTCAGCTTTGGGCATGCTGCTCTCTGAATCGGAGCAAGCTYGGGCCGCAGTGGGGGTGTGAGGAGTTGGCAGCGGTGCTGCTGTCAGGCGGTGCTGCTCCCAGCTGCTTCCTTCCATCCCGCGCTGCCTCTCCCCTGCGCTGACCCAACTCGCAGCGAGGCCGTGCTATGAACTGGGCCACAGAGCTGAGCTGGGTTGAGCAGAAGCCTGGCAAGGCAGGAGGTTGTGATCAAGGGCATGAGAGCTCTGCAAACAGGCGCTGAATCCTTATGCTGCAAAATTGGAGTTTTTGTGAGTTACCACAACCAGCTGGTGCTATTTTGAGGAACCTGCTCTGTGAGGACAGCAAAACAGGTTTATGCCTGATGTGGCCYGTCTTTCTGGAGAAGACCTGGGAAGGAGTAAAGGTGTCCTGGGAAGGAGTGAAGATGTCCTTACAGAAACTTGCTACCCAGGCRCTGCCTCCTGTCCCAGCTGCAGGGAAGGTCTGCCTGGGATGTGGCAGCCTCCTTTCTTGGTGGTCCCCACCAAGGTGCACAGGAACACGGGCTCACCAAGGCAGGTGGCACATCTTCTGAGGAGAAAAGAGGCAAGTTCAGTTTGGCTTCTTGTGGGACATGTCCAGCTGGTGAGCGCTGCGTGGCAGTCTCGGTGGTGAAGCAGCTTCTCAGCGATGTGCAGCTACCAGCAGGTCCCTCTGGATGGCAACCAGGAGAGGATAGAGGGCTGGTTCAGAGCATGAGCACTTGTTTGACCACTGAGCATTCCTCAAGCTCTTCAGCTGCTGTGTTGAGTTTATTGATCATTTATTGCTCCGTCATAGAGGTATCCCACGTGGCCTGAGTATGATCCTGGTTTTTCCATTGATCCTTTGATTTCCATTGATCCATTGATGTCTTCCCAAATTGAGAGGTCTCTTCCTATGTTCCTCCTTGCCCATGAGGCCGAGATAGGTGAGGAACAAACATTATGTAACTACTTAGTGATCGGGCACTATCTGCTGCCACTGCTGTAACTGGTGCTGTAACTTACAGATCAGGGCTATAGAAAGTGCAAAGCTGATGACCAGGACTACTGAGCATCAGATGTTTGAGAGGCAACTAATGATAGGACTGACAATTGAGGTTAAATCTGGGAGTAATGAGTGCAAGAATATTTGGGGTGCATGAAAACTGTCTTTACCTCCTCCCGAGGTATTTTTCTTTAAACATTTACAAAAGCATCTTTTAATCCGACTACTGGCTAGTTCAAATTGTACTTGAGGGTATATTTCATTGTTCTAACGTTAATTCCCCTTTCTAGTCCTAAGAAATAGTGAAGCTAATACTGAAACCAAGTCGGAAAATCAGAGGCTCGTTGCCAGTTGAAGGAGATTTGAGTTTCCCTGTGTCTGCTGCGGAGCAAAGACCGTTTGGTAACAAGTTGTGGACTGGGACAGTTGCATGTAGATACTCACGTGCAGGTTAYGTGAGAGATCTTGCTTCGTCGTCCTGTTCTGCTTCAGCAAAACTGGTAGGTGTTTCACAAAGCTGCCTAGAATCACCTGCTAATGCCCGGGGGATTAGTGATGGAAGGTGAGAGCAGGGCTGAGTTGCTGCCTTATCTTTCTCCTCACTTCGTGTAGCGCTTAATTCCCTTGATGTATGACACAACGTTATGGCCACAGGACAGTAGACTCTGCTGGATGTCTCCCTGCAGCCCTCTCCTCTTCAACGTTTGGAAATCCTATCTGCAGCTGCATTTATAAAGTAGGTTCAAGTCCTGGTAAATTCGGTTCACTTAGGTGGTGCCCTTCCCTGTCATGCAAACCAGCAAAAATGGCTTAAGTATTTATATGCATCAGTGCTCGAYTTGGCCCTTTGTGAGTGGCTGTTCATCTGTTCCAAAGATAGCAGATTTTTGTAATCGCCCTTTGTATTACTGTAAGCTCTCGAATAATTCCAGCCTTTTCTGTTTACCATGTTGTGCTCGTATCCCCCCTTGGATTTTTGTCAGCTTGTGCATTAGCCTGTGTGTCGCTTGTGTCTGCAGCCCTTCGTGGCTGCCTCGTGCCTGCCGCGAGGCCGGGAGCTGCTTTTCCTCCCCCACGGGTATTTTCTGTCCTGCTTAGGCTGAGTTTGCRGGGCCGGCTGGGATATTTTGGGAGACTTCAGTAGCTCTCGGAGGCCGGTTGCGACGTACGGTAGAAACTGTTGCGTGTGCCTGGTGGGCTTGTGTGTCTCTGCAGATCGGGCTGGGATCCGTGAGGATGCTGTGCCGGAATATTTGATGGGTATAGCCTGTGGGTCTGGTTTAAGGCAGTATCCTGAGATACAGGAGTTATGTGAAACTAGGGATGCTGGATATTTGAGAATCAGTCCTGTGGCCATGTGAGTGAGGCTGTCTTTGAAAAAGCTCGGAAGGGAAGAGCAGAAATGTCATTTCTGGTGCTTTAAATACCATGTATTGTTCTGGAAAACACTCAGTTTTTTTTATATATACATATATATATTTATATATATATTTATTTAGATATATATATGAAATATATAAAAATATTTATTTTTATCCCTTGCTCTGTRGTTTATGAGAGGAGAGAGAGAATCCACTGCTGTACCTGGGGGTCAGCATCCAGATAGGAACATGGTGTGGAGGCATCGCGTCACCCACGGAGCACGGGTGGGTTTGGGGCTGGCCGAATGCGTTTGCTTTCTGCCTGCTACTAAACATACAGGAGCTAGCTAGGTCTGCGCCGCACGCTAAGCTCTGCCCAAAACCTCTGGTGCCTAATGCCGGGGTTTAGGAGCGGTCAGCACCGCAG